TTCCTTTTGTCCTTGTTGAAGTTGTTTTACAGTAAATATGGTGGAATTTTTCTTGTAAATCTGAATGGTATATAAAAAGAATCCGAGTATTCTGGACAATCTTTACCCTGTTCGGTGCCTTGCTTTTTACGTTACAGCACCATCAAAGTAATTAAATATGCAAAATTGTTTACTATTTTTTTTAACTATTTTTTATGATTATATATGCTTAAACTTCTCTGTAGCGTCTTTGCTACTATTCCTTTATGCGATTTCCTCAATTTCTAATTTAAGTTTTAATCAAGTATAGTATGATGCGACCATTTATTCAAGGAAAAATCATATAGTATAATATGATGCGACCATTTATTCAAGGAAAAATCATATCTTCTTTGTGCTGGTACAATGCCTGAATTTTTTTCACTATGATAAATTTTTTCGTTTAGCTACTGAATATATTGTTGAATTTTGATTTCTCCGTGAATTACACCCTAAGCATAAGAAATTAGAGAGAGAGAGAGAGAGAGGAGTTAACAATAATGAATGGTAAAACGTCATGTTTATTAGTCAACACTCATAAAAATAATGATTTCCCTATTTATAGGAAAGATGGTACAATCTATTATATTACATTTCTGCCCTTGCTTTTATTTGGGTTATATAGGGTTGTTGGCATCAATTTTTGGTGTCACATGTGTAGGGTGTTCATTTGATGGGCTCGGGTTGATTCACTGCTCGCTTATAGCATCACGTAGCTCAAGATATTCATCTGGACCCCTTGGTGTGTGTTCGGGGCACAAAAAGAGGATCCGTGATGGTTTAACCTTGCCCTGGTGAATTCACCATTGGACGAGCTCATTTAGGACATGAGGCATGTTCAACGTCCATTCTGGTGTTTAGAGACCATGTCATATTCATATGGAGTCTCTCATGGCCAAAGGAATCTGTTGAGCCTTCCCGTGGGCTTTTCCGAGAAGATTAAGGTTTAGAACGTCATACCAACCAGACATTTTGGGATGACCATCGACACCAAAATCCTTCTATCGAGATCCATAAAGATGCCTATTTTTGGAGTTATAGGACTATATTTTAGTCATACTTAGTATTCCATAGCTTACGGATCGATAAAATCTTTCGCCGCACTTCTGGTGAAAACTGAATTTTTGGGGTTAGACCGGTGCCTAGGTGTCAAAACCCAACGCATGGGCATCCAAAATAGCCCCCATGAGGTTTAGAACAGAGAAGACAAAAACTCGGTGCCTAGGTGCCCAAAACAACCACCTTTGGTCTTAGAGCAGAGAGAACAAAAACCCGACGCCAAACCCTGGTGCTTAGGTGCCCAAACAATCCAAAAAATGGTCCCAAATTTGAGCTGATGAAAACCCAGCGCCCTATGCGCCATAACTGTTCCGAAAAGCTTGAAATCAAGCCTCCGGAAACCCGACGTCAGACCCAGCACCCCAGCGCCAGGGACAAGGTGTCAAGGCGTCAGGCCAAATGCCGAGCCGCCGGTGTTGCGACATTTAGGTGCCAGACCCGATTTGTGCTTCGCTTTTTTTCGAGGTTCTCTCTCGGCACACCTCCCTAGGCAGCTAAAAAGTGCATATTTCTTGGTTTGTGTGGAGATCTGCCTAGCGGGAAGAAAAAGCTGATGGATGCAACCCATTTGGCCTCTTTTGGAAACTTCTTAGGAAAGGTGACATGCCACTTTAAGCAAATAAAGGGGGGGAATTTTGGGCTGGTGAGCTTCTCTAAAAACAGGTAGCTCGAGCAATTTTTTCTCTTCTCCAAGGGCTGAACTCATCTCCTTCCTTGAGAGCTTTGGAGTTCCTTCTTTCTTGGAGCTAGGGTTTTCTCTTGGAGGCCTTGAAGTGAGGAGCACTAGAGAAAGGTGAGAGTGAGGGCTTCCTTCCCATAGCACTCTTCTCCATCTTCTTCCTGTTCTTCTTCATTTCCACCAAGAAAACCTTCTTTCTCCATTTTCTTCCTCTCCTTCCACTAGTGTGTGTGGTGTTTTCTTGAGGAGGAACTTGGCTAACGAAGAGGGCAAGGTGTCTATTCTCCTACGTCAAAGGAGAGCTTCTTCATACTTTGGGGAAGGATCGATAGAGCTCGGAACTTTGCCTGAGCTCGGAACTTCAACGTAATCTCGCCGGACTCTCTCCTTCTAATGGAGAGCTTCTTCATTCATTGGAGGAGCGGAGCCAACCTCGTCGGAGCTTCGTTGGAACTTCGTCGGAGCTTGGAAAAGCAAAGTAAACGCGTCATCAACTTTCGTGGCGATGAGAAATCTCATGTAAACTCTTGCATTTCCTTTCTTAGTGCCCCTAGGTTTGGATAACTCTTGCATTTTCTTTCTTAGAGCCCCTAGGTTTGGATGTTAGATGAGCTAGGTTAGATTTGTTTGTGCCTAGAGGAAATCTTGTAGAATTAGGAGCCTTGTGATCCCCTTGCAAATCCAATGAGCAAAACCTACCCACTCTACTTTTTTAGTCCAAAATCCAAATGACCGGATCGTCACAATTCCGTATTTGTGCCAGTGATATCGTCCTCATGATGGGAGGAACAAAATCCATCGTTTGAGCGTAGAATACTGAAAGTAACCCTACGTCTCAAAGGTTTTTCCCACATAATTCTTTCGTGTCGTGCAAATGAAAGGGGCCACTTGTCGCTTTGTGTGACACCTTTTCGCCGTTTGCCCCTAGGGTTTACCCGTGAGATCTTTAAAATGCGCTTATTTTCGTCGTTGAGCGCGGTCATATCTCCATTATTATGCGTGTGTTCATATTAATTGAGTGCACTGCATGAAATTTAAAATTGCATAAAAAATATCATATTTTTGCATTTTTACATGCGTCGTCGATCAAACGCCCACTTAGTCGACGTGATTGGTACATTTGACCGTTGATTCAATCGATCGACTGACATTGGTTTGATTGCATTAAATTGACTATCCTCCTTCTATCGGCCATCCACATAGATCTGATTGACCACTTTCGTTGGCTCGAATGATCGGCCGCCACCGGTCCGATTAATTCAATCGACCCTTCTTCGTTGGCTCAACCGATTGATCGTCATTGGTCTGATCGGTCTAACTGACTCTTTTTCGTCGATTGGTCGCCCATGTCAGTCTGATCAACCCTCTCTGTCGCTTTGATCGATCGGTTGCCGCCTGTCCGATCATAACGATCGACTGAATGTTGTATGATTGCATATGCTTGTCTCATGTTGCTTGCACAAATGCACACAGTTGCAACCTGTGGTGCACTCATGAGCATATGCCCTCATATGCTCCTCGCAGGTCTACGTACCAATTCTACACATCACTTCGTGCCCATCTTGTGACATCCCTTCATCATGGTGCATCACATCTTGTTTGCTTGCAGTTACATTTGCGCATTCTCGTGTGTGTTGGCTTACATGACATCTTGCATATTCATGACTTGTATGCATTTGGATTTGTGTTCTTACACACTTATTTCACACGTTCACAAATCATGTGAATAATGATGCTTTTGATGTGATACGAAGCATTTGAGAGTTATACATATAAAATTATAAATATAGGTGTTATAAATATTGATAAATACATAAAATTGTTTTGGTAGATATGTAAATACCGCTTTTTATAATTTTAAGCTTATCATGATAAAAATACTCCTTACCAACTTTGGGTTAGGACGTAGAAAATGTCAATTCTTTGTCATTGTTTTAAGCGTCCGTTGGATAGGATGAGCGGCTACAATAATAAAAAATTTTGCTCCTCTCTCATAATAAAGTGTTTCTTGTTCAATCTTTTTGTCATTTACTAGTAAAATTTCTCTTAATTTGCGGGCACCTATGAACCAACAATTCAAAACAAATATAATCTTGTGCTGCATCGATTTATAAGAAAAGTATGGCCTTTCAATTTCAAAGCATGTTTTGTATAATTCAAATTTTAACAGTGAATTTAACAAATTTTAGTAACATTAATCTTTTAAACTTTAATTTTTACAGTTTTTAGAGTGTTGAATGCTTTTGAGACTATGGTCTTTTATTGTCTGTGAGTTCATATGATTTGATAAAGACTTTGTATCAGATAGACAAAGAGAGAGAGATTTCACTGGAAAGAACCCTTTTTTCCCTTGATCTCCTTTTGATTCCCCTTTAGACATGAGGGAGAAAAATCGTAAGATGATAAACAAGAAACATTTCGTATCGTACAACACATTTCCTTGGTATCTTAATTAATTGACAGTTGTCCTTACTAGTCAATGTTAACTTTTTTTTATTGCTGCCCCCACACAAGTGGACTAAACCGTCCTTTCAAGAGGAATAGATACAACCTCATCGACATATGAACTCAATTCAACATCTTTAGCAGATAGGCTTCACTCAAGGGTGTATTTAATTTCTAATCTAATCGCTGAATTTATTAAATTTGAGCAAACTTGATCATGCCTTCAAATTTATAGTTTCTTTAAATTAGTTTATAGAAATTTTTTTATGGTAGCATTTTTGAGTTTGTAAGATCACTCTTATAACATACTAACTACTAATTAGATATATCCTAAAATGTAATGTTTAATTACCTCCACTGATATTCCCTCAAAAAAATTACCAAGTTGAAGGGTGGGACTAAATTATTTTCATTTTTGAAAGTCGAGGGACCAAATTAAACATATGGAAAACGGACAACATTATTGCATAATGGTACATATTCTAAGGATTATTTTGTTCATATTTTTATGTATAACTAGCTACCACCACCTAAGGCGTGCTTCTTTAACTATTCCATAATCATTAATTTAATTTATAATCACATTCTTATAATATAAATAAATAAATTCACATCCCCTCAATTACTACCAAATTCAAATCAAATGATTAAATGAATCTTGACATCTTTCCAAATCATCAAATATTAAAATGTTTCTTCATAGCTAATCTATCACATTCAAATGTGTGGTTATAACCATATAACACTTATTAATGCTAGTCCATCATAAGGAGCCTCACCCAAGTCAAAATTTTAAAATGCCACTCACTTGCCACCAAGGTAATAAACAAAATAAAATATTACAAAATTAACATATATCTTTCACCAAGATAAAAACAAAATTACATATTCAAACAAAGAGAACAAAATATTATAGAACTGACATATATCTTTTAAGTTATTATAACGCAATGCATTATAGAGAGGAGCACAGCTTTATTTGTCGTGTCAATTAATAGCTCATAATTTGAATGAAAGGGACGATATTATTACATAACGGTACATGTAGAAGGATCCTCCTCGCAGAAAAACTGACACGTGGAAGTTGACGGAGTGCCCATAGCCGGTGGCAATGGCGGCCCCGTCCACCCGTAGAACATCCCACAAGAGCAGCACCGACAGCCGCCGTAGTACTGCTCATAGCATGGTCTCCAGCAGCAGCATGGCACCAGTGGACCGGGCTGACTGACCGGCTGGTTCCCTTGAGCCGGCTCAGGCGCTTTAGGCTTCTCCTTCTCCGGTTCTTTGGGCGGTGGTTTGGGCTTCTCCTTCTCCGGCTCCTTGGGCTTCTCCTTAGGTTTCTCCGGTTCCTTGGGCTTCTCCTTAGGCTTCTCCGGCTCCTTGGGCTTCTCCTTAGGCTTCTCCGGCTCCTTGGGTTTCTCCTTAGGCTTCTCCGGCTGGGCCGGCTCCTTGGGTTTCTCGGGTGGGGGCGGTTTGGGTTTCTCCGGTTCGGGCGGTTTGGTGTCCTTCGGAGGCGGCGGTTTTTTGTCCTCCTCCTTGATCTTAATCTCCTTAATTACCTTACAGGCTTTGCATAGGAGCTTCTTCTTTAATTTTTGGGGATCGAAGAAGCCAGAAATGGTTACAGTATTGTTCTTCTCATCAAAAGTGACAGTTTGGATTTGCTCTCGGTCTTGATTTAAATTAAGTTAATCAAGTAATAGTGTGATTAGTAGATAATTAAGCATGAGTTTAATTTGGTGGGATGGGAGGAGCTGGTTACCTTGGAGTTTGCAGATGGTCTTCCGGATCTTCTTAGAACATATGTAACAATCGAGGTCAACGGTCAAGATCAATGTGGAGATCTGCGACAAATTTTTAGTTGATTAGCTTAATCAGCAGAATTAGAAGCTTAAGCTTCAAAGAGAAATAAGAAATCGCGGCAGATTAGGAAGAACAAATTAAGGGTAATGCAACAGATCAAATAAGGGAAAAATAGAAGAGAGAGAAAGAGAGAGAAGCAGTACCTTTCCTGCCATGGGAAGCTTGTTTAAGCAAATATAGTGGAGAGGGGGAGAGGGGGGAAGAGAGATAGGGAGAGCTCTTTTTGGTCCAGACCGACGGAGGAGAAGAAGAAGAAGAGGACTGAAATGAATTAGGCTGGGCATAGCTATCGTCCAATGGAATGGCTACACGTGTTAGCCGTCGGGTTACGTATGCGGGCAATGCGCTTTGCAAGCTGGAGGCATGAGCGAGAAGATGATTGATTTGATGTCATCATTTTTTTTTATTATTGTTATTTATAAATTTAGTCTTAATGTATTTATCAATGTATAGTTATTTTATGAGACTATATAAAAAAATGAGTTTTTTTTTTTCTACTAATGCCATAAAAATAGAATTTGAAGAATAAATATATAATAAATTGTGTTTATATTGAGTGTAAGATACTAAACTTCTTACATGAAAGACCCATAAAGTGAAAAAATTATATATAGAACTTGGCCTAGTTAAAATAATTTTATTAATGTATATTTACAAATGACATTCCTAATAATTGGGGTTTAGAAATGTGTTGATATAATAAACTAGACATTAATTGTGAAGAATAAATTTGTTTGTGGAAGTTAGAATAACTTAGAGATATTACAGTTGTCTTCAACAACATAACATGAATCTCAAAATAACATTTTGAGCTAGAGATATTCAAATTTTGATAAAAAAATGATCCAACACCCCAATTTCAACAAGCTAATAATCAAATTGACCGACTCGGTAAGACGGAGTCAATGATATCAACATTGATCTGATCTGAACTAAATTGAGCTTTGATCACCATTAAACTAAGTTTGGAAGTTATCCAGACACATTGGGAAGATCAAAAGAATACCAAATCCAGAGAGTTCATAGTCGAATCAAACATCTTGGTGAGATGAATCCAACGAGCTTGAGATCGCTCAATTCTGTCATCGTTAAGCCCTTAATTGTCCATAAAACGTTGTGTGATCGAGGGAAGCCTCATGATCGTCCGATCAAAGTGGTTATTATTTCCACATTAATTGTACCTAGAGTTCTATAAATAGAACCCCACCCCTCTCATGAGGGAAAATGAAGCTTGAGGCTTGAAGAAAAGCTCGAAGTTTTTGAGAAGAAGTTGAAGTACACCATCATTCCCACTGCCGACTTCCATCGACCACCACACGTCGGCCGCCCCAATCGTTATCGGTCACCTCCCTTTCCCAGCAACAAATCTATCCGCATGTCAATGTTATAACTTGATAGATCTTCTAACCCTTTTCCGCCTGTGAGAGAAAGTGATTGTTGTAATCATCATCTTATAATGGATTTTCACAACTAGGTCAAACTCCATAATTTTTTCCCTCTACGGGATTTCCACATAAAAACTTATGATGTATCTACTGATTGTTTTCTTTTATATGGGTGTGTGTTGCATCTTCGAGCAACACTAAGACGAAAATCCATTACTCTACCGCCACGAATTTAATAGTGCAATATGCCAATATTCATTATAAATTTTAATAGAATTATTCAATTCCATAATAAATAATAAGATGATTTAAAAAAAAGCTACATAAGATTATTATTATCTATTTTTTACATTAATCATTTATCTTTATTTAAAAAAAAAATTAAAAATGCTATCCTAAATAAACCAAACCATAGGATTTAGATCTAAGTAAAAAAAAAGGCGGAAAAAAAATCTTAGCTTTCTTTTTCCCAAAAGAAGTCTCATTTACATTTTACTGTTTATATACTCTCGGTTCGTTCAGCTGGATTATTCACCTCGTACTGACTGCAGCTCTTTGCACACTTCGGAATTAATTCCTCCACATGCGTACAGAACCGACTCATCCGATTCAGTGCACTTTCATCATACAACTGAAAATTTGTTCAACACCAAATGAGTAGATGTGGACTTTGAAGGGTATGGTGGGGACCACAGTTTATCTTGATTTCAAATTCAGAAATTATTTTGCTTGTAATTATAAAAACCGAAAACAACAAATAGGATAAAAAAGCTTTACCTCCACTGCTGGCGCTTTCGTTGGAAGCAATGAGGGCTTTGGTGCCTCGTCCTTTTCAGTAGATGTATCAGACTTTTTATTTGGAGGCCATTTCCACCAAAAGGTTTTTAGTCATTTTATAATGATTTTTAACGGTTTTTACTTGCCTATCATCTAAAATATTTAATATTATATATTAACCACCCAAATTTAAATATTTATATTTTAATCACCCTTAAAAACCACGCTTCTTAAAACAGCTACCATCCGTTATATTTCGCCTCCATCTCCCTCCCACTTAACCTTCTTCTACTTCTCCGGTCTCATTTCCTGTGATCGTTGCCCCTGTTCTTGAACATGATCTCGTGCATTCTTGCCACCTCTTAATTGGCCTCGATGGTCATCTTAAAAGCAATAATCTAAGAACACTCCATTGGATTCGATGGAGGTGGCACTCTCTTCCCTCTTGCTTTTGGCATCGATGAGGGAAGCGAGGATACCTGGATCTAGTCCTTGCCTGAGCTTTTTTCTTTCCTAGATAAGAACAAAGAGAACATGCCAAGACTCAAAATCTTATCACACAGGCAGAAGGACATCGTCGAAGTAGTAAATTTGAACTTCCCAATAGTATGTCATCGCTTCTACATGCATCATCTCACCAAGAGCTTCCAAATTCCATCCTCATCCAAATCTCTCAAATTCTCAAAATCGAAGAAATATCTCAAGAAGCCTCTTATAGAACGAATTGTATCCCTTTAATGTTGTGCGCGAACAATTTGATGGAATTAGTTGCTGACATCTCACCAAAAACATAACAAAATCATTCAATAGCTCCTGAATTTGAGAGGGAGATGAAGAGGCGTGATGACCACGTTAATACGAACGACAAGGTGGGAGACTGTGGTCAATGAGATAGTGAATAATGGTTGTTTTGAAAAACAGGGATGTTTCGGATGGTTGAAATATAAATGTTAATTTTTTTTATGGTTAGTATGTAATATTCAACGCTTTCTTTGGCTCTCTGCAGCAACTGGGCTGGCCAAAGGAAGCCTTCCTGGACTTTTTCTACAGTGATAAGCAGCCTGTAGGATGGCCCAGCCCACATTCGGCTTGTATGATTAGAATGTATAATAGTCTGGCTTTCAATAAAATATTTTTTATTTCTGCAAAGTTTTATCAGAAATAAATAGAATCTTTTTATGATGACGCCAATGAAGTGGACCCTTCTGCAATTCTTATCTTTGGTGATTGGGTAACGGAAACCCATATCCCGTGGCATGGAAATTGGCCATGGCGTCCAACAGTGAGCCAGCTAGCTACCTATTTCATGGTGGAGTCATCTTACCAATCAATATCTTATGTTTTTGTTTTATATTGCATCTTCATAAGGCTGATGAAAATGGCTTTATTATTATTATTATTTTTTTGCAATTACATATATAAGCAATTTCTTTTTCTTGTAAAAAACAATATCTTTGCAACTTTAGCATCAAATTGTTCACAAAGTTGCCTCTTTTCTATCTCTACCACCACAACTTTAGACTTTGGGAGATATAACCTCTCTCTCTCTCTCTTTCTCGCTCTCTCTCTCTCTCTCAAATAAAATTTCTCTCTATAAAAGGCCATTGCCATTCGAAGGCATAAATGTTTTATAAGTAGAGAGAAGAAAGAAGAGGTAATTAAGAGAGGTCTTTGCTAAACAAAATAAAGCTTAAAGGTTTTATATTTCACGCAATTATATATTTTTTTGATTAAATTGCAGTGGCCTGCTTTGCAACACCTTTGAGGCCCGAAGCAATCAATAATGGGAAAGGTATGTAGTAGCCATGTTGCATTCAATCTCCATTTTCTTCTCCCACAAGTCCTTGTTTTAAACATTTTCTATTCCCATTTACTATGATTTGTTTATGATATTAATTAATAATTTCATTCTTTCTTTTTATTTTTTACTTTATTTTTTGTAATGCTCATTTCAAGGAATCAAAGGAAGAGGCGAGAGAGGAGAAGAAAGAGGAGGAGAAGAAAGAAGAAGAGGGGCAAGAGATAGTACTCAAGGTTGATATGCACTGTGAAGGATGTGCTAGAAAGGTTGCCAAGTCTTTGAGAGGCATTGAAGGTTCTTTATTTTATTTCTCGCCTTTTAATTTTACATATTTCCTTATTCATATAAATATATAAATTAATCATGCAAAGATAATTAGAGAATATATCAAGTTATTTTATGCTCATCAAAATATATACATATATTTTCTTGTTTAAATTATATTGTTGAAATTTTGGAGTGCTAAAATCACTATGTTTAATTCTACATATTTTCTTGTATTTTATTTTTTTAATTTTTTGGTTTTGCCCTTGAGCCTTAAGAATTAAATGAAGATTTGACACTTAATAGGAAACAATAGAGAAAAGGGATTCCATGTAGCCGACTCCACTTAGTAGGATAAAGGCTTGTTGTTGTTGAGCTTTAAGCATGAGACCTTTTGATGTGGGACGAAATGCCAAACTAGCGAGCTACCATCTCATCCGCACTAAAGAAAAAGTTTTTGTTCTCCTGATTTGTGCATTCCTTTAACATCATCTTTTTATCTTATGTCAGACAAAAGATGGTAGGAACAACTCATTTTTTTAATTATATAGTATTATTCTTCTTTCATATATATATATATATAAAGAAGAAAAAGCTCCTAAACTTTATAATTAACTATTATATTGCTTCATAAAATGAAAAATTACAGGGGTTGAGGAAATAAAGGTAGATAGCAAGACGAGAATGGTGGTGGTGAAGGGAAGAAGTGCAGATCCACTGAAAGTCTGTGAGAGAGTTCAGAAAAAGACTAGAAGGAAGGTAGAGATTATTTCTCCTCTCCCCAAGCCACCAGAAGAGGAGAGGAAGGATGAGGCCAAAGCACCATCTGAGGAAAACAAAAATGTAATCTAAATTTTATATTTTTCATTTTTTTTCTTTGAAAAGTAAATAAATATCTATATACATACCACTTAATTTCTATGTATTTACATATCTACACCTAAACCTCATGCATGAAAAAGAGTATTCACTTCTTAAAAGTCAAAATAGTGATATGTTGTGATATGAATGTAAAAAATAAAAATTAGGTGGTAGATATTGTAAATACATAGGAATTGGGTGGTATGTATGTAAATGTCATAAAGTATTTGAAATTTTGATATTTAGAAAAAAAAAAACTACATGAAATGCTTTCTTATAATTGCTTATGTTTGCCTTCAAAGAGCAGCCGAAGCCAGTTACTGTAATTTTGAAGGTCAGGATGCACTGTGAAGCGTGCGCCTTAGTTTTGCAGAGGAGGATAAAGAAGATAAATGGTATGTTAATATTATTCTCCGTTAAAAATATAATTGCGTTTGTACCATAAAAATTCATATAAATTACATGCTGACTGCTCGATCGAAAGAGTTATGTTGGATGTTGAGGGTATGGTAATGCAAAACATAAATAATCCACATTTAGTATGGATTTCAAGTTTATAGCTTGAACAAAATGCGAGTATATGTTTCGCCTATAATGTAAATATATATAAAAAAAGGAATATTTACATAGATGTTACTCAATTCCTATGTATTTACATAGTCCTAGGCATTGGGTAGTGGCTGATAAATGATAAACCCACTCCTAAGTTCGCCTTTTTAAGCTCATATTCCCTAAACATCTTAAAAATTTGAGCTTATAGATCAATCTATCCCATTTGGGATTGTAGCTTGTGTTCAGCTCTTGAAGTAGCTCATGTTTGAATGATTTGTTACATAAATGAGTCGAACACACAAATATTTTAAGCTCAAATTATAAACAAGCCAAATAAGGATAACGGTTTGTTCGATCGTGTTCGACTCATTTTAGCTTAAAATAAGAAAATCATATGTATTTATATATATGTTTAAATCACTACATGGTCATGTAGTTCTGTTCTTTTTATTGCATAAAAATGAAATAGGTTCGAATCTAACAACCTACACTATTTTTGTAATTAATTTAAATGAGTCAATTTCGAGTCCAACACGAACAAAGAATATGTAAATCGTGTTGAACATGAACACACTATTTACAAGCAATTTTGAACACGAGCCAAGTTCGAACATAATTAATTTCGAATGAGCCGACACGAGCCAAGCTTGAGCTCACTCGTTGGGCTCATTGCTTGAGGCTCATCTACGGCCCTAATTTTGTTCCATAACCCAATTTATTTTTTCGCAATCTTTATATGATTCTAACAATTAATAATATTATTTGATTGCTTATAATCTCAGGTGTAGAATCAGTGGAGACAGATCTCACAAATGATCAGGTGATGGTCAAAGGATTTGTAGATCCAACAAATTTGATTGAAAATGTATATCGAAGAACAGGAAAAAAAGCTTTAATAATCCCAGCAGAAGAGAAGAAAGAGGAGGATAATAAGCCTTCAGAGGAGAAGAAAGAAGAGACAACTGATCAGGATGAAAAAAAGATAAATGCCAAAAAACTGGAATATGTGGCCCCAAATTTGTTCTCGGAATATGCCTACACTTACCCACCTGAAATATTTAGTGATGAGAATCCAAATGCTTGCAGTATTGTGTAGGTGACATACTTGTGTATGTGCATAATGTTGTTAATGTTAATTATTTGGAACTTTGAACTCTCTTATCCCTTTTGTTTGTTAGTAATAGTCTGAAAATTGTGTTGAGGTATGTAAGAATATTTTGTGTTGACACATTAACTAAGATAAAAAGTACAGCATTTAAAAATTGGGGCATTTACATGCATACCACCCAATTGCCTGTTTATTTACATATCTAACACCCAAACTTTACTTATTATATTTATAATACTCAAATCTTTCATAGCACACCAAACGTACTACCATTTTAACTTTTATGAAATGAAATACACCTTTTCATGCATTCGTAAAGGTGGCATGCACGTAAATATATAAGAATTGAGTGGTATGTACACATCAAAAGAAAAGGCAGCATCAGTAGCTGCAGAACTTAGGTTTTTTCCCACATCAAAGAAGCAGGAAACAAGAATATATTCATATAAACTATCAGATCCATTAAGCTCTACACTTAAAATTTAAATTCAAACAGTTACAGAAACTTGCGTGAATTTCAGGTTCCATTTGCTTTACTTATAAATACATGAATTTTAGGGGTGACAATATTACCTGCACCTCCAGCCACAGCTTCCTAGCATTTTGCAGAAAGAGGCCTTAATCACTCAGCAAAGCTAAATTTCATATGAAAATAATGCTCATCTGGTGTCCGCAGATGACGACAATGAAGATTTTGAGTTTGCCGTACCATCTCTATCAGTTTGACTAAGCTCTACTTTTGATTTCTGGGAAAAAGGAAAAACAAATCTACTAAGTTAAAATGTACAGATTTGTTTAAAGAACTAGAAAGAACAATAATGCAAAGAAATATTAAGATATACAGATTGTGTTTAACTTAAAGTTTGAAATATCGACACATTGCTAAAAGGTTATAATTAGCATGGGATAATGTCATTTAAATGTCAAAGAATCAGAACTATATATATATATAT